TACAAATTGCTACTGTCTCATTAAATGTTTATTACATTGTATTTGATGGTGTTATTTGTGTGACCTTGAACCTTTTTCTTGCTAATGATTAAAAAAAAACATTGGGATGTTAATATTCACTCAGTATCATGCTAGTAAGTAAATCCTTGATATTTTTTAGTAACAAAATACCATCATCTCTTTCTAGGACATGTCAGTACTAGTACTAAAGAGTAGAAATGAACAATTGGAATTATTATTCTATTCTATCAGTAGTAAACTTTGGGTCTGACTCTCTAGCCTACCTTAATTTATTGGATAAGATCATACTTTTTGCTTCTGGCATTGACTAGGTATTAAGGTACCGGTAGTTTGTCTGTTTTACATTTTTTTAATGATTATTAAAAGGAAATATGTGAAGAACTATTTTTCCTATTCTATTACAATCTAACTGATGTCTATCTTTGGTTACTCAGGATGATGCTTTTATTCTGTATCAGTTGTTATTAAAATGCTGGTTCACTTGTTAGAAGTAACAGCTGCTAAGTAGTGCAGACAATTATGTCTTGGTCATACAAACAGCTAGTGCTTACTGGAAGCTATGGAGAAAATCATTTTATAGGTCACATGATTAACATTGAAATCATCACCACTTTTTTTAAACTTGTAATGTAGAGAAGTGTCAACCACACTGATGATATGTCTTTTTAAAAAAAAAATCTCTTTGATTATTTACAGTTAGTGATATTTATATTTATAAACAAAAAAAACCACATTCATTTCTCATTATATGCATTTGAAATGGCTGTTGTAGCACACAAGGTTAAAATATATTGCTGGACATTTGTTTTTAAAATTTGGATCTGTTGACCATTAGTTTAGGGAGTAGACTTAGGTCCTAAAGGTAATAATTTTTTTGATAGGTCAGATAACAAAAATTGTAGATTATGTATTTCTCCAAAAAAAAAAAAAAGAAGTGCATAACATTAACCGTTTCTCTCCTACTGTGATTACATACTAGAAGAATATAGACATTATTACAAGTAAGATGATATTTAAATGAACATCTATCTAGTGCAAATCGGGAAGATTAATTGTCAATATTCAGAGGGTTAAAGTCAGGTTATATTTATACTGTGCAAGGGGTGGTGCACTTATTGCATAAATTCAGTCAAATTACTTGAGAGTGAGGTGATGGGGGTGACTGTTTGAAAGTGTGATTTCTTGTCATTGGTTCTATAGACATTTACACATTCTCTCTTATAATTATTGTAAGAATGTTTGTGCTCTATTGTATTTGTTAAAAGAAACTTTTTGATTTGTCAATTGTTAGCTTTTGTTACTTGTAGTATTTACTCAGGTCCAACTAGAAAAACCCTTTTGACTGAACTTGTCATTTTCACACATTATTATATCAAAGATATATATTTCTTTATCTTTCAACCCTTGATTTGTTTCATAAATGTGTTTTTTTTTTTTTTATGTTAATTTTGTTTCAGATTTTCTAATGTCTTTTCATCATAGCTGTATTTAAAAAAAATAATAAAGTCTCGAAAAAATGTGTCAAACTAAAACAAAGAAAATGACTCCTTTTGTTTTTACTGCAACAAAAGTCGTACTTTTTTTTTATTTATCATCCTTTTTTGAATATATAGGGAATTTTTAAAAATACATTTCTTTTATTGTGTAAGAACAATTATTCTGTGCAGGTTGTTGTTATAAAAGTCATTAACTTCATAAAGATTTCATCCAAGAAAGATGATTTAGGGTATAGCTATGTTTTGCCCACCACTTCAAATCTTCAATGATGTCTGTTGTACATCTGTAGATGAACCAATCTATTACTGAGCCTCTGGGATGCACTTATCTCAACTATATACAACAACAATGTATTATTCAGCTCATTGCTGGAAAACCTACCGCCCTTTTGCCCAATCCTGTTATCAGTTGAGCCCATACACAAATAATTCAGTTGAAAATTCAGGTGAACAGTCTCCTTGTCTTGTACAGTGTAAACCCCCAAGAAACTCAACAAAAATGTTTTTCTTCTACAAAACGTCCTCATTGGATGTGAATAATTTGATGTTACTTCTTGGTAAATATTTTTATATCCTTCAGGATAGCAGCTGCATAAAATTGTATATTTAAGGGACCAAATTTATTATTTATGTCTTTTTTTTTTTTTTTTTTTTTTTGTGTGTGTAATAGATAGTGATATTAGTTTCCAAATCATTTGTTCCATTGTACATTTTTTATCATCCTTTTGACAATCTTATGCTATTGCTGTATAGTAATATCTTTTGACTAGATCCCATTTCATCTGTCACAGCTTCATGAATTTAGAGTTGGTTGCAATTTTTCTGTGTGTATATGTTTTGCTTTCAGTTCATCCATTGATGCATCTGCTAAACACTCTGTGCATAAGGCCATTTTGAATTTAAAAGTAAAATACTTGTTTTTCTAATTTAAAGAAATTTGCTAAAACTTAATCTGGACAATTTAAAATATATAGGGATGAAAAAAGTTGATCAACTTGAACTTCTAAGTATTACTTAATAGTATGATAGAGAAACAGTAAGAGTGGCCACTAGGTTCAAAACTTTGCCAATCCATAAACATTATTTTATTATTGTGTTCATCAGTGATGGTGATATTTGATTTTATGTGTATAAATCTCTAGAACAAGTATATGAGCACTCCCCCCTCTCACCGGCCAAGTTCTTGTGGACCTACTTAAGCAATACTTTAATAGTCAAGTAAAGAATCAAACTGAGTGACATTTGCTAAAAACAAGTGTCTGGACACTGATGTTGATAGAAGTCTCTTCCCCTCCTCCCATTTTTTTCTTCTAATTACAAATTTCTGTTGAAAGCCATTATGCAAATCTAAGTGATATATTTTGTTTTGTTTTGAAGCAATATATATTATACTTAAAAAGTATTTAATTTATGTACTTAAAATGTATTGTTCATGCTTCATCCTTTTTGTCAAGTTTTGTGAAGTCAGTGATGTCATGACACGTTTATTTTAGTTTATAATTAGGTTGTGTAGGATCATTTTTTTTCCTCGTGTGAACTGAACATTTCTTTTTAAAATTAGTTTCTTGCAGAATCCTGTCATGATGATTTTGTGTATTGGCTCATTCCTAACATTTGAATTATTCTATTTTTTTTAACATCACAATTGGTTTTATCTAAATATGTTGTTGGGGATGGTGTAGGCCAGTTTTTTTTTTGAAGGTGGTATAATTAAAAAGTAATATTTAAAAGGGCAGTGATTATTTTTATTACAGACTGTGAAAATGTTTACAAAAGTTATGGGCTTATTTGGAAACAAGATGTCGTGTCATTCATACTTGGTCAACACTTGTACTCACTGGTTTAAATAATGTGTCTGTCTGGTAACTCATCTTGAAACATGGATCATATCAAGCCATATAGATTTGGTGGGAAATTGGTTTTCTTGATATATTATTGTTCCCAGCACTTGCATAGGTTTGGTATTTGATGAGTGAAATGCTGCCTGGCGCTCTCTCAGCCTCAATTTCATACCTCTTATAATGTTGATCAATTGAACCCTTTTGTTTCTTGCAATGGTTTCTGTGTGCTTTACTGATCCTAACCCTAAACTACTTCATAGACTTAGTTGAACAAAATACTTAACCTGCTTATTTGCAGACCACAGCAATAATGTCTTATTGTCTGGGATTTACATGTTTTTTTTTCTTTAAATTATTTTCTAATAAATCCACTGCTAAAAAAAAAGCATTTACAATGAAATCTGATTTGTTTGTTACATAATTGCTAAGAATTGATCTGAGTTGTACACAATTTCTGCCTGTTTGTATTTTTGTGTGTGCAATGTTTCTGAACTCCTAGACATTAATGAAGATTGTATATGCACTCCACAATGATATCAAGTTTTGTATTGTACAGTTTGTCATACAAATTCAGTTTGAACTCAAAAATCCCTTTTCAAATTTTTGTTGTTTTCAAAGTCTGCATGACCAGTTCATGCTGATGTGTTTGTGCACAATTTTATTTGACACTAATGTTAGATTACTGAATGAAAACATTTGTATGTGTAAACCACAGACCCATATTACATATTACAGTTTGTGCAGATTTAATTGTATGCATATTCTTGTTTTTTTTCTTCCCTACATACATTTTTGCTGTAGTATAGCTCCACTACTTCTGGTCACTGCAGTCCTATCTATGTGTGTAGTTTTGTGCTCAGTATTTCTCCCCCATTCAGCGAGAATTCATTCTGTATGTGTATAATCAGCATTAGCGTTTGACTTGCCCTCTGACTCAGTGTTGAGAATCATCAAATGTGTGTTGTTGCTTTCACTGTCTTTAAAAACATGTACAGTTTTGGTTTCTTGCTAAAAATAATGATTCCATGACCTTTTTTTTTTTGCCCCTGCTAAAGAAATGCTATCACTGGGTGCAGTGGCCAGAATGGAAGCTCAGGAGGAACAACATCTGTAACTGTATAGATTTAGTTCATGTTTTTTTTTTAATATATAATTTTCTATTGCTGTTTTTTTTTTTTTTTTTTTTTTTTTGGTGGTATTTCTCCGTTATCCTTCATACCTCTATATCTTGTGTATTGGGTACTGAGGCAGCATCAAACAGTGTATTCAACTTGATTACAGCTAAGAAAGAAAAATGTTACCAGCGTTTGTGTTTGCTTCATTTGAGTAGGACCACAAGGTTTACAAATAGAATTAAAGAGCAGACTAAATTATTGTCACTTGTTTTTCCATAATGTTAGAACCATCTTGAGTCAGGGACTTTTTGTTGTTATGATTTCACAATATTTGCGGTGGATTGTCAAACTTTGATATGGTTTCTCTGTGTGCCACATTTTGTCATCTCTTCAGTTAACATCCTTTGTTTGTTCACTTTCTGTCTGGGTTACTAGCAATCATTTGAAAGCTTCCTTTATGTTAAAGGTCTCTTGTAAATTTGTTGCTCTTTCTGTTTAAGTCTTCCACAGCACTGGTCCACCTCCACCTTTTTTTTTTTTTTTTTTTTTTTAAGACAAAAAAAATAATTTGTGCAAATATTTCTCTCATATGCAATGTCATCACTGAGAGAAAGGTTGTGTCATAGAGAGCAGTGGCAGAGCTCTGCTAAGTAGGACCACAATGTTCAGGCAAGCAATGTATACCCCCCTATACCCCCTCTGCCCATACATCCATGTGTGCACATATTCTTGTTTCATTCAGATCCACCAGTACTTATTTGACTTTGATGACAAATGAATGTTGTGGAAAAATAAATGTAAATATTAGAAATAGGCTGAGTTTGTGTTCCTACTTTCATCTGCATTTAGATGTTATTCATTGAATCATAAATTAAATATAAATAAAGAACAAAATCAATCCCACACAATAGGCAAGTCTTTTAATGAGATGAGAGTGTATTGGTCAAATATTTGCCATACATTCTTGTGTAACATTCAGCAGGTCTGAATCCACACCAATGTTTGAGTGTTTAATCTGTGAATAGAATGATCAGCTGAGGTTTACTTTGAGGCTGACTACCAAATGCCAATTACTACATGTTAACATTACATTTTCTGTTGACTTACCTGCTGTAAGATAGCTTTAGCTTTGTCTTGTAGCTCTGTAGTTAAGTCTGAGTTGAGGAGTGCTAGGAGAAAGCTGTCTGCACTAAAAGTGGTCCATGGGTTTTGATCATATGAAGACAACTGAATAAAAAAAAGTAAAACTGAATTAAAATGACTAATTGTATCTATCTTACTAAATGAAACTTCAAAATTACTTCATCATCTTTATAGAAAATAGCTTGAGAAGAAACAAATAGTTACCTGGTACACAAGTTCAATATCAGTCTCTGATAAGCCATCTTGACCAGTTGATAACATAGTTTCTAACATGATTGAATTCCATGGTTGCTGAATCACATGCTGACCTGAAAATAAAGAATTTGGGAGTTGGAAAGCTAATTTAAAAATTGTATTTATAAGAATACCATTAAATTTGTTGTAGAGTCTTATTAGATTTGAGAGTGAACCAAATCCTATCAGATAAAATAAAACCACTGTTGAAATGGAATAGACAAAGCTCTAACCTCTTATATCTATTTTAAATATAGTTTCACATGTCCAGTGCATGTGTCTGCTGTTTTTCATTTTTTGTAGAATGTGTCTCATACATTGACATGTATTTAATTTCAATATCAATACAGTTTAGAAATGTTTTTATTTATATCTCTTTTACATCTGCCCAGTTTATCTTAAAGGGAAACTCAGATGGTTTTGACAATTTAGATGTAATGTGTTTTTAATTACAGATAAGGAATATATTATTCTTTGAATTAATTGATGTTTTTCTGCGCATCCAAAATGGTCAGATTTTTACATTGTTTTGATGTGACATCAGAATAGCCCAAAGATGTAGCCTACATATATGTGACCAGGTTAATATTAGTTGGACTACCAGCCTATTTACTATTTCGGAAGGGAGGATGATAAAATTGCCTTTTGCCCCTAGATTTAGTTATTGTAATGCTTAGAGATCTAATGATTGTAGATGTAGACCTAGATCTTTTGATAGTATCTATAATACATTTTGGCACCACATATCTATGAAAGATGGGTGTTACAACTTTGTTGCACAATAAACATAGGATATATTTATATATGTTTAGTTTTTCCCCCTTCGATTAAAAACTTCAGAAAAGTGTCTGCCTAAATTTTAAAAAAAATTTTATTCACTTACTGCATAACAGAAAACCATACAGTAAAATTTACATTCTCATAAAAGAAATAAATCTTGGTCTTAGCAATGAGATCTAGATCTTGTAAGAAGAGAAAAAAATGTGTGAAGAAAAGATCTACCGTACATGCTTCACTATCTCAGTGTGTATTTTCTCGCCTGACCACTCAACATACGACAAACACTATTGCCTGGTCGTCTTGTCATGACCGTCTGCGGCGACTACACATAACCTACTAAAGTTCTAGGTTAGCCTTACACTGACCAGTTTGTTAGAATCAGTCGGACACAGTCTATTTACTTTTTGGGACAGAGAGGGTGTGGATGAAAATGTTACTTTTTTTCTCTAATTGGTTATCCTAATGCTTTTAGATCTATACATTACTGTACCTATGACTACCATATTATGGATTAGGCTGTCACTAAGCCTATCAGCCACTGTAAGAATGAAGCAATACGATTGGTTTGATATGATTTGCTTTCAGTATTTTTGAGAAAAGCAACGTATGCCAGAGCCCAAAATCTCAAAGAATTGATCCTAATTGATTAAATAATTGGTTAATTTTTGGATTGATTCTTGTATTATCATCGACTATAAATAAATATGCTAAATTTCAACTTGGTGGGAGAAGGGGGTTAAATCGGTATATACACGGACATCTCTCATTAAGTAGCAGCTATGTTGATATCAAACAAAATAATTAATCATAAAAAATTACTGATAAGTTAATTTTTTTATTCATTCATGTCTTGTCAGGTACATTGAATAATTATACAAAGTTTCAACTATATCTGAGAACGTGAAATGGGAGTAAAAATATGTTCAAACATCTTACCAGACAGACAGTGAGTGATATACACTTTGTAAAAATACTTACATATATCTTGTCCTAAACACATCAGTTTTTGGATGCAACAGATTGCTTCAGATCTCAACTTGACATTTTTCTTGTAATAAAAAATTAATAAAAACATATTCCAGTACAGTTACTGGTAGTATAAATCAAATTTAATCAGATAATTATTATTGGTCCTATCAAATGGAAATTCATTTTGACTACAATTGACCACCTCGGCGTAACTACTATAACTAACAATATCGATGCAAATATGAACAACATTCACACAAAACAAATACACACTCTTAACCCAGCGCTTTTTTGAAGTAGACTTTTTATGTACTTCTCGATGATGACAGATGACCTTGTAACACATTGTATCTAAAGTATATATGCAATCTAGTTAGATCCAAAATGTAAATTTACCAAGTTCTTCAATAATTAAAATTAAATAAAAGTATTTCAGGTGAAATAGTTTAAATCAGTGTTTCAAAAACATTTTTAACTTGAGATCCCCAACCAAAAAATTTACATTTGAACTCCTTAGCCGTCTTGAAGTCGATGTGGAGACTCAGAGCCAAGCGTTTTAGAAACACCTGGCATATATAATGTATGAAGAGCAGCAAAAGTTCAATTAAGGGATGAGATGGGATGTTAGTGAAGTGTGAAAAGACATGTTTGATTCTAATAAGATCATCGTCAATTTCACAAGGTCATGGAGCTGGCATGCAATATTTATTCAAAAGAGGTCATCAGAATAATGCACATCACTCTGGAGAAATTTCATTTCTGATGTAAATTAAAGAAAGACAGATGTTTCTTGGTAAATATTGAAATGCCTTCTTTTGAATCAAATCTCTTGTTAAAACAGTATGAAAACTCAAACTAATTTAATATTTTAATCATTGGTAATTACATCATTTTTACTACATTAATATTCAAAAATAATTAATAACTGTAATGCAAATTCAAGATTTTTTCTGTCTGCGCAAACCCCCCAATGTCAGCTGTTTTGTTTGCAGTTTGAGAAACATTAAATAAAAAAAAATTGTGTCACATTCATTTTTTACTTCTATTTCTAAAGTCTCAGAACACAGGAATTAAAAAAAAAAGTTGTCAAGATTTTAGTTCTTTCCAAAACGAAGATGTGCACTGCATAATTGTTTCCACACCATAAGTATTATGCACAGACCAATAGACATATTATATATAGGTCTCTGGTCTTATGGTTTTTATATCTTACTTTAAATGATAGCATAAAAATGTCTAAAAACCATTCTGATAGGGTCTAAAAAAAAATAAATTGTACATCTCTTATTTAATTTCTTGTTTTATAAATTATCAAAAACTAATTTGCATTACAACTATTTATTTATTAATTAAACAATGTAAAAAATCTTGCATTTAAAAAAAAATAATTTAAGTTGTTTTTATATTTGTTTAAATACAGAATGATAAATAAAGCTCATGTTTTAGCCTACCATATAAAAGTTTGGTACCGGCACATAAATTTCTTCATACTTTTCAATAAATTATTGTGACAAGCAACACAAAAATGTATAAATTAAAGTATCTCAACCAATGGAGTATAATAAAGTATGAACATGAAAATCAAATATTTATTTTATATCTAGTAGATCCTTTGAACTCTTTGTTATATTCAAATAATAAAATTCTGTTTGAATAGCTTAGTGAATAGATGTATAATTATGTTACATAAAAAAACTATTTTTAACAATACAATTTGTAAGGTACTGGATTAAAAATTATTTATTTTTTAAAGCCTAGAATAACTAGTTTGTTGATTAAAATCTACCATAACTACATCAGATACAAAAGTTAAGAAAACATTTTATCTCAAAGGTTAATTCAAACATAAAGCCCTACTAGAAATATAATCTACCCAATAAATGCAATTATAAATACCAGCACCTAACTCATGCAAATGATTGCTATTTAATGGCAAAGAAATGCAGAGTCCACTATTTTCTACCAATCAAAATAATATGTAAAGCCATAGAATTATCTACCCACTCAACATGTAGGTTCACCAGTAGATATGGATCACCCAACAAATGCAGAGTTTTAAAATGCTATCTTCTATTACCTACCAAACAGAGTAAAAAAAATAAGACTACGATTACCTGACTAAAACAAAAGTATCAAACAAATAAATAATAATAATCTTTATTGTCCATACAGAAATTTGTCTTACAATTTGTGCATTACACCAAACAAAAAACATTATAACTATAAGAAACCACCAAAGTGTACATTTACACCACACTCACTCATAATTTACATGTGACAAAGTTTATACCAGATTGTTCTTATTTAATGATTTGATTGCCAGGGGAACAAAAGAGTGTTTGTGTCTTTGCTATCCGTGTCTTGTATCTCTTTTGTGATGGTAAAATCACAAAGTCCTGACACAAAGGTTGATTCTTTATTTGGAGGATCTTGTTACCTTTTTATAGATGTTTGTCTCAAACAACTGCATAAATGGGGTTTGTTTTTTGTCAATGATTTTACCAGCAGCATTTAGGATTCTATAAAGTTTATTTTTATTTTTAATGCTCAGATTGCCATACCAGGCAGTGATATTGAAACTTAAAATATTGCAGATGTGAGCGTGATAAAACATAGCCAAGGCCTTTTCACTAACATTAAAAGAGGACAGTTTTCTTAGTAATCGTAATCTTTGCTGCCCTTTTT